AAAGTACTACCAACGACCAAGAGGCATTCCATTGACTAAAACATGATGTGTGAGGAATTGAGTTGTTGACATGCAACAACTGGCACGCTACCATTCGTCCTACCTAAAAGAAGTTAAGGCTGTCAACAGCAGGACGGATTGATGAAGCAAAAATCTACATGGCTAAGGGTGAATGCATCTGATTGACAATTTTTTTCACAGTATGTCGCTTTTCTGATGAAATCTCTCATCTCACGAGCTAACTACATAATAAGTAGTATCGTTTATTCTGTGTAGCTACTGAAATAAGTAGTATGTCTTGGAAATTTAATAGTAGTAGTTAATAAGATATTTATGAAACGTTATTTCTGGTGTATTATCCTGCCAAAAGTTTCCCATTAATCTCTGCCCATTTCTAAGGGGTAATCAAAGTGACCTGTAATTTTGCCACGACAATGGTTAATAGACGTAGCATCTAGTGAAAACAATCTCACAAATGATTGTAAAAGTGATAAGTTTTTTTTTTCAAAACCCTTCAACTTTTCCCCTTTTTGATGGTCTGAGCTGTTGTCTGCTTTACTTTCGCTTCTGTAGTCCCCTTTCTTTTTCCCATAAACCTGGGTGTGCCATTTTTAACTGAGGCACACCAGGAGGCGCCTTGGTGGCAATTTTGTGGCTTTACTTAAGTCGAAGTGGACAATTTAAGGGACGAGACGACAGTGATGGAAAAGAACAGCCTTACCAAGAGGAACGGGGGTGGGGAAGAGGAATGCAGGCCTTTCCAATTCTCCCACCGAGAAGTCGTCATCACCATAACTCCTCCTAATACAGTAGTATATGTCCGATGAGGAAAGAGGCGAGAATGTATTCAATGATGACAGACTGTTACATGATGGTGTCACGCTTTTAAGTGTTTTCTCATGAAACAATATGAAGCAATTTTTTTTGTTTATTTGTTTGTGTGTGTCACTCATGCAGTAAAGTATTTTATTTTCTCCATTGTTTTTTTATGCATCCGCCTACTGACCATGTGATGCTGAAGTGAAGGGAAAGAAACACTCAGATCCAAACATACACATATACACGCTCACTACACTGTGCCCCACGCCAGAGGGGATGAGTCGGTGGAACAGACCATTCAGGCATAATGCCTTAAGAGCACTGACTGTGCCATAAAAAAATACTTTTATGTGCCTGTGTTGTGAGTACCACGAATTGTCTACCTCGGAGGGAGAGGGAGGGTGACGAAGAGGAAGGGAAGATATGCACTTTCCTTCCTGTCATTTGTGCTTCGACTTCGCTCTTTTCCCACCTATTGCCTCTTCAGTGGAGCGGTATTTCTCTCTCTCCTTCTTTGCATCAACTGGCCTGATCGATGACAATCAAGAGCCATGGGAAGTTGTACAATGCAGTTGTCAGTGCTGAGAGTTGACGCTGTTGACATCACTACTGCCTTCCAGTAGAGTACTCGTGTTCAACACCACCATGTGTACCCCAAAACACACAATTGCCTATTTACTTTTTAAAGAGCCTTCACCTCAAGTCAAAACACACTGACATCACACCTAATTTTGACAGGTCACAGTAGAGCTAATGTGATCACACTTCCAAAGACTGCCCTCACCGTTATTCTGACCTCCCCTTGGGTACGGTCATGCCTTCGTAAACCCTCTTTGCACTTTACATTCCTTTCTAATGCTTATTTATGCGTAAATGCCAGGCTCGTTCATTTGTTCCTCCATTGGTGATCATCCAGTGTGTGCGTGTGGGGGACGGTTAGTTCTGCCAAATTCCAGAAATGTGC